AAGGGTGTAAAACAATCAGCGTGTGTTGTAAGGGTGTAAAACAATCAGTGTGTGTTGTAAGGGTGTAAAACAATCAGCGTGTGTTGTAAGGTTGTTGTAAGGGTGTAAAACAATCAGTGTGTGTTGTAAGGTTGTTGTAAGGTTGTAAAACAATCAGCGTCCGTGTAAGGGTGTAAAACAATCAGTGTGTGTTGTAAGGGTGTAAAACAATCAGCGTGTGTTGTAAGGGTGTAAAACAATCAGTGTGTGTTGTAAGGGTGTAAAACAATCAGTGTGTGTTGTAAGGGTGTAAAAAAATCAGTGAGTGTTGTAAGGGTGTAAAACAATCAGCGTGTGTTGTAAGGGTGTAAAACAATCAGTGTGTGTTGTAAGGGTGTAGATTGTTTTCTTGCCTGACTCATAAGACTATTTTACAAATGTACCTTTCTTTCCAGGAGAAATATTTGAATCAATGGTATATTCTTCATCTTTTTACAGCTTTAAAAAAACAAAAAAACAAAAAAACATTTATATAGTGTATACAGTTTTTACCTGTTTTTGCAGAAGGAATCATTGTTTTTTCAGGCGAAAACTAAAGAAAATATAAGATTATAAATAATCAATGATTGTTTAACTTTTCCAAAAAAGTTAATGTTAAGTGAGGGTGGTAAAGGGTTATTTTCGTGCAACGTGTTTTGCCATTTTTATTTCACGTGCAGCCGTGAAAAAGGTTCGTTATTCAACGTGTTTCGTGAAATCGGTAAAAAGATCAACGTGCAAGAAATTTTTAATTTTTCGTTCATCGTGAAATGGCAATTTTATTTCGAGTTCTTCCGTGCAGATACCCCCCCCCCCCCCCCCCCCCCCTTTACGCCCTTCTTAAGTAATTTTTTTAAGTTTTAATTCCAGTAACTTCTTGTGTGGTTTGTTTTTCCTCAATATTCAATGTTAAAAATGTACGTAAACATGATAAATAAACAATTTATGATAAGTAAACATGATAAATAAACAATTTATGATAAGTAAACATGATAAATAAACAATTTAATTCTTCAACGAGGAAGAACGTCGATGCAAATGACCTTGCCGAGTTCATTAAAAAGTTGGTAATAACTGATGAAATATAATATCCTAGTCTACCATGTATATATAGTGGCTTTGATAGTATCATATTCTCATAGCTATAAATCACATGAGTGATGCTGACTTCCTGGTAGCAGGTGATTGTTAACAAAAGGTATCTATAATGTATGAGCAGGTTATTAACAATAATGTAAAAGTAGGTCTTTACAGGTGAATTCAGTACATCAGTTTATTAAGATTTTCAACTATAGAAAATATTAGAATGATTCAATATACTGGTAAAAACAAGAAGTCATATTATTATATTTATTTACGGGACGACCATTCTATTTGACTTTCCATGTGTGTTTGGTTTTTTTTTTGGTTTTTTTTTTGGGGGGGGGGGGGTTAGGGGAGTAGTGGTGGTATGAATATCCAGGTCTGGTAAAAAACTGGCAAAAACTAGCATAATTTTATGACAACAGATCAAAATGACTATTCTATCCAAAATATTCGTTCAGGTATACTTACAGCTATAAAGTTTTGTGTGAAATAAAGATGATTTCTTTTTAGAATAAGTAACTCCATATAATTTTAAAAAGCAAATAGTCTTGTGAGTATTTATATTGAATGAGGGTCTAAACGGAAGGTTCTTCATTTCTGTATTCTTTAATTTTTAGGACAATTTTCTCTGTTCTAAATACGTTTTGCCCATTATTCTCTTGATTTCTTTATAAGCACCCCGTTATTCTCTATTTTACTTATTTTATGCCTATTTTTCACTATTCTTTTTTTTTACCATTATTCTGTAGTATTGGTCCATTATTCTCTTTTCTGTAAGCCCCATCTAGACCCTCATTTATGGTGGTTTTCGTTTTATTAAGAATTGTGTAAAATAATTATTCTGTTCAGGAGTTATGGTGGACTATAAAATCAAATATATTTTCGTAATTTTGTATTCCTAATTGTTTTGAATAAATCAATTTTATTGTTCCTTTCACTGATCGTAGTATTTTATTGGTTATCAATAAATAAAAGGTTCGTTTATACGCGTTATTTATTACATTCTTAATTCCCTTTTATGATCCTAAAGCCTACATAAATTACAACTATACTTCAATTTGCTTTAATGGAAAGCTCTGCTATAAGTAAAAACCATATATCCCATTGTATACTCAAATAGGTGTCTGTACTCAATAATGACAAAATTTGCATATATCTCGATCTAGACCTTGAGTTCTTAGTATTGAAAGCGGAAGATTTTGTAATATTGAAATAGAACGTAGATTTATCACCCTAATCAAAGATACATATAATTTCATTAAAGAATGTGACAAATATGTTGATATTCTAAGGAAATATTCAAGTTTTTTTTATCAACTCATACAATTCGTGTTTGTCCTCAACGACAAAAAGCTGTATAATCAACCTTGGGGCTAGATACTAAAGCTATAATAGTTCATAATTTACTTCATACATGAGCTTCCCCATGAAGAATACAAAGAACCTAGCATTCTCCTTTAACTTCACATTCCGCTATATAAAAGAAATCCTCTCACAAAATAATTCAAAGTTTGGTGACTATGTTGGACGCATCTATCACATTAGCGGCCTCTAGTGGCAAAGTGGTCTAAGTAGTTCAACATCTGTGTAACCGAGGTTGTGAGTTTGAACCCTGCATTTAACAGGTTGTTCGATTTCAATCTTAATTGACTAGAATTGTCAGATTTCCTCCCGAAGGTCGTTTGTTCTCTCCGAGCACTCCGGTCACTATACACTGGCCTCCGCGAAATAGTCAATAGTGCTGAAAGTGGCGTTTAATACTCACAATCAATCAATCAGTCACATTAGTGTGAGCAAAACACAATCACTGTCAGAAATGTGCAATACACAATGATTCTTTGCTTGAAATTGATTATTATGTAATCGTACTAGACTGTTTAAACATAATAAATTTTCGGACTATCTTTTTCTAATTGTACTGAAATATATATTAGCTGTCATCTTGAACTTGTTGTATATTAACTTATTTGGAGAGGATATATCTTGTATCAAATTTTATTGTTTATTTAGCCAAAAAATATATGTGTAAACTAAACTAACATCTATCCATTAAATGTTTGCGAACTTGAGACAACTACTTATAATGTAGTATTTTGAGTTGCATTAAATAAGTGCGAGAATTCTTTTCTCCCATAGTTACCATAGTTTCTGTATTGTGGTACTTTTGTACCTGTAATTATGTCGTCTGTAATTATATGCCGATATTAAGAGTTCAATACATTAGACAAATGAAAATAAGTTTTAAACAAATTAAGAATATGTACTTAAAAAAAAGGGGGAACATGCACCAAGGTGCTGTGCAATTGATTCGACGAATGTCATTCGGTATGACACGAAGAAAACTGTACTACTAAGCATTTTAAAGTGCTTCTTTAGATGGTAAAATTACTTTTTGTCATATTTCACTTTGTACGCAATAGGCCGCGTGTCTTTCGAATATGAAATTTGATAAATAGATCAATGAAATATGTTGTGCTTTCACTTGTTCCAAAGAAGATCCAGCTCTGTAATTAAATTACTGTAATATACACGACAAAATTGATATAAACATTGAGAATAATGGTCAAAATAAATAAAGAATAGAGAAAAATTGTCTAAAAAATTGTCTTAAAGAATGAAGAAATGTGAGAACCTATGATACAGACCCTCATTTATGATGTTTTTCATTTGATTGACAGAATTTAGAATTTTCAGTTATTGGTTTATCATCAGTCCTACAGTTATTATCAAATATGTATCTTTCAGACACAATCAGATCAAGTTGAACTTCAGTATCACTGTTGAATAAATCTAAGGATTGCTACACTATGTTCAAGCCTACCGTGGAGTCATCATCTTTGTCTAGTTGATACTCCATACTTGTCATATGAGATTTATGACTTTCGTTTTTCGGAGATGGAATTTTAACATTCAACATACGTAGATCCCTTAATTGAAAATCAAGACTTTTAGGACATCAAATAAGCTGCAGATGATTAGGCAGCATCAATTCATTTCATTTAGTTTCTGTGGATGTTTAATTTTTCTTCTTCAAATAGATAAAGAAATAGATTGTTTCAGAAGGAAAATGAAAAAAAAAATAATAGTTTGTATTTTCTGGAAACACAGAAAAAATACAAAATTTTTTTTTTTGTTAATTTCTTGTTTCTGTATGTTATTGGAAAAAAGTTGGTTGTATTTTAATTTAAGCTAAAGAATAAAAAAAATTGTCCAGAGGAAAAAAACATGTCCCCCGCCCCCTCATTCCCTATCATAAATTCGTCCCAAGTAGACGAAAATAGACGAAGATGGATTGGTGTTTAGTGTCAGTGACACATCTTATCAGGACGAGAACATGATTTATAATGGGTACGAATGTGGACCCTGCTTTGTACTAGACCAACAAACTGAGTCGGATTCTTCGAGTTCACAGGGTGATAGATAGTCCACAGAGAAGACATGTCATCATAACGCAACCCACACTTCTGACCCCGAACCGACCATTCTATGCTATTTTTAAAACAGCAAATACACGTAACAGCATTTAAAATCTTTGGTTTCAACAAATCGAGTATCGAAACCGCGACCTCTCCCACTCAGGCCGAGCAACCTACTACGAGAACAAAAATAAAGCTGAAAAGAAAAGATGAAAAATATGAATACACATAATTAAATTCTTGGAAGGTTTTTGGTTTTCTATTACATGTATTATACAGTTCAGCGATAAAAGGGTATGAATAGGGGTATTTTAAATCATTTTAAAGATACATATGATGTAGGTAAAAGGAAGTTAACTGTCATGTGACCTATTTCATTTTTTAAATACTTATATGTTGTTTATCAGTTTTTAAAGATTTTAGTACAGGTAGAAATTTTCACTTGGGAATTTCCCGAATTTTGACAATTGATAACTCTTAATTCCCTGTTCTAATAATAGTAGGAGGAAGTTTAAGATAAAAACCCAGACGCAAACCCTTCTTTGAAGTATTGACAGCAAAACTGACATTATAAGGAAATCTTTTAAAATGGTAGTTTTGTTTTAGATAAGGTAAGATTTTAGTTATAGTTAACTTGATATAAAAGTGGTCTGTACCTTGTTTTAAAATATAAATATAAACATTAAATGAAGCAGAAAATTAGGCATTTTATATTCATCATAAAATTTAAAGTTATTTTCTTGCATAATACTTTGAATAAGTTGTATATTTAAATTTACAAGAAATTCATATGTTCCTCTCTGTATAAATTGATAGTGATTTCGTTTTCCGTATGAAATATTTCGATCTTAATTATATGAAAGGAAGTTAAAACATTTAACTTACTTAAGTCGGTAGCATACGTTTAGCCATAAGGAAAGAAATATCTTCATCCCTATTAAATATTTATATGATCTATAAAGGTATGGAATGTTTCAAGAAATCTATTACTTTCATTGCATGAAATATTTGTCACTGGACGTTAAGCAAACCGCAATTTAACAATCATGTTACTTGTGTAGCAATTATATCAAATCCGAAAAGTGACAAACAATATAAAGACTCATAAAAACTCAGTTGTATGTGCCGATATATCACACAGAAATTGTTATATCGTTGGAGGGGGAATAACTATTATCATCCCTTTTATGTATTATTAAAACAAATTCGTCAGTTTTAATTCATTTTATCATAGTATCTTACTGAAATATTTTATATCATAGAAACATATACTTTATCATTAATGAATTTGAGGTTAAAATGTCTACGCAGATTATAAAGAAGTGGACATATTCGAGATTAAAATAACAAAAAATAAAAAATAAAAACTAAATCATAAAAACGCATGTGACCCGGAAGCATAAGCAGTTCTTATTTCACCAGTGTGTTAATCAAGATAAGTGAAAATCTTACAAGAAATATGACGATATGATCTGGTTACGTAAAAGACCAGGACATTTTTATACCTTTCAATGCAAAATAAGAAATTTATAAAAGAAAAATAGGTCTTCGTATGAAAAAAGCCTAAAATTAAGTGTTTCTTTTCACTACATTTGATTTTATGCTTAAGCATACTAATATTTGGTTATTATGTCTGTTTGTTCAAGGGATGACTGATTTGCTATTGGAACTAAAAGAGATCAAAAGAGAGACAAAAGAATCCAAAGGGATAATCAAGCCCATAAGTCGAAAAAGAATTGACGATACCATGGCAAAAACCGATAATCGACTAAGGGAGCTACCATTTGATTTTTATGGGGGGGCTAGGATGAAATTTGAAAAAAATAGGCAGGACAGGAGTTTTGAGTAAAAAAAAAGGCAGGATGAGATTATTTGCAAAAAAAAAGGCAGGATGACAATTTTTGTAAAAAAAAAAGTCAGGATAAACTAAAAAAAAAAGGCAGGACCGAATAGAGTGAAAAATAAAAAGGCAGGACCGAATAGAGGGAAAAATAAATAGGCAGGACAAAATTTTTCATCCTAGCCGCCCCATAAAAATCAAATGGTAGCTCCCTAAAAGACAAACAATGATACTTGTTATCTACAAAAAGAAACTGATTCCCAAATATATCAGTTTAAAAGTTTTAAAACAAATCACAAAGGTTTCCTTTAATCATATTGTTCTTTCCTAACCAAATTCCTAATATTATAACTTAGAATAGATCGAGCAGCAAGTACAACGATACAGACATGTCCATCTAAATATACAAGAAGGATCAGTTGATTGTGTTTTTCTTTTTAACGCATTTCGGTTGTGCATTTTTTCCACCCTGTAGTGCCCATTTTGACTAAGTCTGCCCAATGAGGGGAAAAACAAACGTTGATCGGTTGCGGATACATACAAAAACCAGATTAGTTTCAATGACAATAATAAAATTGAAAACCTATATATGGTAGACCGCATGTCAGTATGTACCAACGACGAGACAATAAAACTTTAACTTTACCTTTGAAATTAAATCTGAGATATATACATGTGTGTGTGTGTCATGGTCGTTAAGTTTTTAGTACAGCAATGTTACAAACTTAATTTTTTTATCTCTACCAGTGCACAGCGGGATTCGGTCTCTGAGGGAACCAAAGGCTACATAAAATATAAAACAAAGCTTTCCTTGTCTACTTAAAACGACCATGCGAGACCCTCATGGGTAGTCAACGTCGTTAAAAAAAACTTAGTAGTCTACTTAACCCAATCAATGTTGTATGTGGCACATTATTTGATGTAGAGTGGCTTGGATATGATATATTTGTGTATAGTTCCTCTTTATTTCAATAAATCGTAAAGGATGAAAATTGTGCTTAACATACAGTCACACTCATTTTCGGTTTTTAAACTATAATATCCTGTTACGAAATTGTAAATTTTAAACGAACAAGATCATACTAATATATTTTACTGGTACTGTCAATGTTAATTTGGTGCACACCTACAAACGACATCATTTGGCATCTTTTTTTTCCATAACATCTTAGGCAAACCAGTAATTGAATAAACAATATTTTCATATCGTTTTAAATGTTTTGAAAATTTCGAATTTTGACCTACAAAAATACGACGTTATCTCATTCTTTGCATATATTTGAAGTGTATATATAAATGTGTATCCTTTTCATCGTCCTACAATTTAGCCTAGTCTTTTGTCGGTGTGTTCGTTATTCCTAATTAAAGGGACATTTAAAACATTTAAATATCAGTTGATACTAAAAAGGAAGGTGGGAAAATAAGGTCATATGAAAATTTCTCCTGTTTGGAAAGAAAGGATATTTAATTTAATTGATTGTGCATTTTTCAGCAATCCGATGAAATATTGAGAAACGACTAATAATTAAGAGAGAGATCCATTACCGTTACTCATCTAAACTTTTCTAAAACCAAAAGAAAACAAAATTCAAGAAATATACCTTTATATGTAGATTCCGTTATAATATCATTATATTGTTTGATCTTCGACAAGTGGCAGATATTTCATGAATACCTAGAACAAAATTGTATTACTGCTGAATATATTTCAACCGATCGACACCAAACACTCAAAACTAAAATCTGTATAAGTTTTTAGACTATAGTCTACATATTCAGTTTTAACATTTTTCAGAACATCTGTGTTTTATATTATAAACATCATCTTTTAAGATCAAAGAAACTCTGAAAATTTTAGTCATTGAGTACTTGTGAATGTTTTAATGGTATAAAAAAATATCGCATCAGTCGGATGGATAAAAAATACTGGGAATTGTGCAATAGACTTTGTACTATAGTATATATCACTGCATTGATCTATTATTACAAATCAATTTAAACTCGAGCAAACACTGTAAATAGAAAACTGGTTGAGGATTTTAAAAAGATATTTGAAAAGGTGTGTATTGCTTCAGACAAGTATATACGTACATCTACATGATACGAATAAAAAAGAAATCTCATCGGACTTCCTGGTTGAAACAAATTTAAATAATAAATCTTTTTCTTTCTCATAAAGATTGCATCAATATGGCGACTGGAGTTTTAGGGATACATTTCATACCATCTGATGGATATCACTGGGCAGAATTTTTACAACAGAAACTTAATGAAGATGGATATAATATCAAAAGTATGCTTTTGGATCTGACATCTACAAGTCATTCTCGTTTCTATGAAACAAACGTTCTTTTAGTTAGTCCTGACTTTTTTAGTCTCCAGCATTTGAAAGCTTTACACCGAATAAATCCGCAAAGAGCAATAATGGTACTTCTGGGAACTACTGCATCAGACATTCAGTCATTTCTGTCTCACAATTGCCCCGAAATGTTGAAAATTACATTTTTTGAAACTCAAGCGACTGAGGAATGTGTTCGTGCTTTATTGATTGGCATTATTAAGTTATACGAACATGTGCACGAGGCGAGTGACGAGGAGACAGAACAATATGACACACTGCCGCCACCAAGACAACCTCCTGGAACGTCAACAAATAGCATCCACAAAGTCGCAGTATCATTTGATAATAACGTAAGTGTCTTTAGAACACCAGTATCGTTTGATGATATCGTAAGTGTCATTAGAACACCAGTATCATTTGATAATATCGTAAGTGTCATTAGAACACAAGTATCGTTTGGATAATACCGTAAGTCTCATTAGCAAGCCAGGAACGTTTGATATTAACGTAAGTGTCATTAGAACACCAGTATCGTTTGATGATAACGTAAGTCTCATTAGAACATCAGTATCGTTTGATAATACCGTGAGTCTCATTAGAACACGTCGTTTGATAATAGCGTAAGACTAAGAATACCAGTATCGTTTGATATTAATGTAATTCTAAATAAAACACCAGTATCATTTGATAATAATGTAAGTCTCATTAGAACACCAGTATCGTTTGATAATATCGTAAGTATCATTTGAACACCAGTATCGTTTGATATCAACGTAAGTGTCATTAGAACACAAGTATCGTTTGATGATAACGTAAGTCTCATTGGAACACCAGTATCGTTTGATAATACCGTGAGTCTCATTAGAACACGTCGTTTGATAATAGCGTAAGACTAAGAATACCAGTATCGTTTGATATTAATGTAATTCTAAATAAAACACCAGTATCATTTGATAATATCGTAAGTCTCATTAGAACACCAGTATCGTTTGATAATACCGTAAGTATCATTAGAACACCAGTATCGTTTGATATTAACGTAAGTGTCATTATAACACGTCGTTTGATAATACCATAAAGTCTCATTAGAACACCAGTATCGTTTGATAATAACGTTAGTTTCATAAGAACACGATAACGTTAGGAACAATATTAACACGATATTCTCTATTCTTTTTTTAATTTACATACAATTAAAGGACTAGGTAATAACGAACGTACTCAACTTCAAGAAAATTCCAGTAAAACTGGCTTGTTTTTTGACTAATCACTTTAGACGATCCTCATTGGGTTGAGTGTTATAGTCCTGACTTTGTACAGACACGGTCGAACGAAAGTGGTGTGTTGAATCAGGTTTTACTGTGTTGTTATCACTTTGTACAGAAGGGGTGTGTTGAATCAGGTTTTACTGTGCTGTTATCACTTTGTACAGAAGGGGTGTGTTGAATCAGGTTTTACTGTGCTGTTATCACTTTGTACAGAAGTGGTGTGTTGAATCAGGTTTTACTGTGCTGTTAACACTTTGTACAGAAGTGGTGTGTTGAATCAGGTTTTACTGTGCTATTATCACTTTGTACAGAAGTGGTGTGTTGAATCAGGTTTTACTGTGCTGTTATCACTTTGTACAGAAGGGGTGTGTTGAATCAGGTTTTACTGTGCTGTTATCACTTTTTAATAAACAGGAGTTGCTTGCCCTGTCGACGTACCCGATTTCGCTCTATTTGGAGTTTATGTGATTAGCTCTGTTTTTGTCTGATACCTTGATTTGTCTTCTCAATCAGTTTATGAGATTTGAACCCCGGTAAAGTACTGTTACCGTAACTTAATAATTAATGCCTTGAGAAAATCCGGGTAAAAAAATGCATTTATTTCTAGTATTTTATTTTTGCTATTTGCATAAACTTCAGTTGTAACGTTTTGTATAAACAGTAATATATGGTAATGAAAATTATCAAATTTGACTTTTAAAATATATGATTATAATGCGTAAAATACTTTACTCTAATTTATTTACAGATTAGGGAAGTTTTTATTCTTTGTGATAGAAAAGGCAGTGATGAAATACAGATAGAATTGTTGAATCGACACGGACAAATAAAAGCTATTCACGAAAATAAAGCTATATATAGATTCTCAGTTGACAGTAAGTATTTATTGTTTACTGTTTTGTCCGTCAGTCTTCTTAAACAAGATATTTTCGTTATTGTTCGAAAATTTTGATTATTATCATAATAAATTAATGTTTTGTGTTAAGTTAAATTAAGCACATTGCTAGATGGCGAGAACACACACAATTGTTGTTTTTCGCCGAAATATTGATATTTGTTTACATAGTTTTTCTTTGGGTTCGCTGTGGTATCGTCTAACACTTTAACCGCTTAGTGTTAAAGGGAATACTTTTAGATCAAAAAGGGTAAACGTTGCCAAGGCAAACACATATATTATCTTAAAACTCCTTTTTTGACAAGTATATAAACGTCGATATTTTGGGCGTGGGAGATACAATGTATCTTAAAGAGTTACTATAAATCAATGTTTTCTCTATTTCAGCATTAAATCAGGTTTCTACCAATATATTTTGTCATACACATTCATTGTTATTATGTATTTACAGCAGATATAGCTAAGACCAATCCAAAATTTATAGCAAAAGATGGCCAACTGACGATTGGAACAGGTCAAGTTGTAATTCCTCAGTCTCAATGTGTAAAACCTGAGTCACAGGATAAGATTACGCGCTCAAAATTAGACATTTTACAAGAAATCCTTGGTGAAGAAAAGGACCCAGTCTGTCTCATGTGTCAAGCACTTAATATAGAGGAAAGAACTAGAGAGGCATTGGATATGAACCTGGCGAAGAAATGTCAGAGTCTTGAACCTCTTCGAAAATTTGATGGAGGGTTTTTTGATAATATTGGTCGTCGAAGTTCAGGTAGGTGGTAAAAAGTTTAACAAAACACTAATTAGATTTAACAGGAAGGATTTCTTTGGATGAAATGCTTAATCGGTATGTAGGCGTAAGGAAATGGGAAGAATTTCGTTGATTAATGTGTCATTTCGCTAAAACGTGCTACCAAATTAAAAAAAAGTATAAACGGGAAATATTGATTTACTCTTTCAAATATTTGATATTAATCGCTCATCAGATTATCTTTTCAGTACTCGTTTGATATCTATTCATGAGGAATGGGCTGGTGACAGGTTTTCCTCCGTGGGAATCGGACCCAGATTTTACTTACCCACCGTTACACACTTTTCATTAATCGCTCCCCGTGGTTCGGATCCCTCCGCGGGTTCGAATAGGGATACCCGATGTGCACTTTTTCTTTTAGGATTCATCATGTTCCAATCATGAGCAAATCTATTCTCCAATAATATATTCTGGTTTGTTAAGATGAGTCGTTCCATATTACTTTGGAATTTTTCTTTCCTTTTTCATGAATGGTGAGGAGGGACTTAAACATTGGTTGGGAAACGATAGTTTTATTCATACTTTTTCTCAAATTTTTGCAGTTGTTCTTCAGTAGATCAAACTCGTGTATATAGTTCAAACAACGGTTCATTTCTTGAACTGTTATGATGGTGGCGTTATTTTTGCTTCATTTTTGGTTTTCATGCCTCAATGACCGATTTCTCAAATTTCCAACTGATTTTTCGATTCTATTCTGTTTCTCGAATGAATTTTTAAAAAGAATAAAACACCGCCGAAATAATTACATGTTATTTAAATATCATGTTACAAAAGTCTTATTTCGATAAGGAAATAATGTAAATATTTTTTGTCAATTAAACCATCTAAACGTCTGTCCATGGTTCATGTTAAAAACGGGTTGCTTTTCAACATTGTTTCAGTGGTGTATTCTACAAGTCAACTGTAACAAGTAGTGTAAAACAAGCATCAATTAACCATGATACCCTTCACATATTATGTTGAATGATTTAGACTTTTTTGTTTCGTCGTATTTCAAATTATGTTTTACATATTTGTTTGACATTGTTATTAATATTAAAATATGGAAACATTACTTAAAATAAAAAATAACTTTAACAACATGCTTTGTAAATACCCAAATTTACTCTTATCGATATATTATTTTTGGAGACTTATCTTGAATAGTTTTGACGATGATTACATTGACGGTATAGGATTTCAAATTATTTTGTTTAGTTTTGTATGAAGTCTACCCATTTTCTATTTGCTTTAAATCTAAAAAAAACATTATCGACATTATTTAAGGAATGACTGTAATATTTTTTCTGTCTATGAAGAAATAACATCAAAAATGTGGTGCACACTGAATAACCCGCGTAGCGGGTTATTTTAAAGTGTGCACCACATTTTTTATTTTATTTCGAATAGACAGAAAAAATATTACAGTCATTTCTTATAATTTAATTCTTAATTCCATTTTAAACCGAAGTAAATCATGAAAAAACGTTGATGACGTCAAGGTCACATGACAAAATTATGTCTATGAGCTGAAAAACATAACAACGTCAGCCAATCGGAAGACGCGTTACATCCAAAATCAAATTATAAAACGATAAACACTACTTTGTTGTATCTTCAAATGAGTTAAAGCTTTTACAATCTGACTATGAATACTGTATATTCAGAAATTATTGCGTGTATTTATTATTGCGATTTTGTCATTTTAGACTAAAATGCGATTTTAATTTTTGCGATATTGAGAAAAATCTGTTTAATTCATATAAAAAAATTTCAAAATGCGAGGTTATATTATTGCGATTATAACCCTGTTGTATTTTTCGCAATAATAAAAACCTCGCAATAATTTCTGAATTTACAATATATTTTTCCGATTTATATTTCAGGAAATGTTTAAACATTGATTGTTATGCTTTATCATGAAATAAATTTTCAGGTCACAGCAACGAAAAATGGCCAACATTAATCCACTTCGCTGCAGAATTTAATCTACCTCAATTTTGTGAAGAATTACTCAAATTACCATGGAGTATGGACGCATGTTTGAAAATGAACAAAAATAATGAAGCTCCACTTGATATAGCAAAACAAAAAAGTTTCAATGAACTAGTCAAAAAATTGGAAAATTTTCTTGAAAAACAAACAAAAAGTGGTGAGTTTAATCAATTTAATATTCGCATCTTAATTGTTTGATACACATAAAGAATTGTAGAATAATCTGAGGCTGATGTTAAAGTTTTGAAAGAGATATTATTGTGCTGCATAAAATAGTATTTCTTTCCAAAATATTTCTTTAATTTATGGAAGTTGTAAATGTCTCTTGCAATATTTGGGTTATTGAACAAAGATATAAAATGGTTGTTCTAACACCCGTTAATTAGTTTTCAATTTTAAATTCTATCAAAAGTACGTCTGTCATATTTTGTCCAATGTGAATATTTTATATTTCAAACTTTAAATTTTCTTATCGCTCCTATTTTGCGGCAATTTTGATATTTTGGTAGCAAAAAAGTGATATTTAAAGTTTATACAATGCTTCTTAGAATCTTAATTCAGCAGCCAAAACCGTTCGATAATACTTATTTATTTATACCAGCTTTTTGCACAAGTCTATGAAACTTTATACAATTTGATGTCAGTCAATATTCAAGTTATTGCGCTTTTGCAGTTATACACTTTTGCTTCCTGGTGGATGGCTTCAAATATTTTTAATATTTGCATCATTTCAGCCACTGGCATTGTGTACTCAGCACTGTTTATTCATTCAAGACTTTGGCTGTTAAGGTCAAGTTACAGGAAACGAATGATGTCGTAGATTCTTATAAAATTTTACACCCAAATCAAGCATGTTGAACTTAAAGTAAGAATCGACAAAAATACACATTGAACCCTTTTTAAAAATGTTAAAAAATGTTATTGAACCAATGTTCTAAAATATCTAAAAAAAATCGTATGAAGAATGTAGGGTAAATATCAATGCAATAGCAACCCAACATGTCGATTTCAACGAAAATTATATGGCCTTGTATGGAGTACTGATAATTTGATAAAGTAATTTTGAGAAAAATTTTTAACAAATTTACCTGCATTCTGTACAAATGTGCATACATTTCAAAAACTTGTATTCAACCACAATTAAGCTAATGCATTAGCTAAATCAATTTTTGTCTCAATTTTCAGTTCAAGTTCAGATGTAAAAGTCGTATGCAAATCTTACAATAATCTATGGCATCGGTTATTTTTACTGTAATTTGACCATAAATACTCATATTTACAAATCTTTATTTTCTTCCTAGAAATACTTGGTATATAATAACAGTATCTTCTATATTCCATTGCAATTTTCTTAGCTTGTCTCACTTAATGAAAACTAACGGGAAACTTGAATCTATAGCTTTATTACCTGCTTCGATAACTTAATGCTAATTGCACCTAAATTAAATTTGACAGGAAATGTTCCAGGTAATAAAGACAGTGGAGTTGTAGAAGATGAAATTAACCTTCCAACGAAAGACGAACGTTTAAGTACATCGGAATCTTACACAGATATGTCAGAGATAGCCAAACGAGGTAATAAACTGGTGCATTAGAAAATGAGAAAAAAATCAGCACACTACTGCATTTGTAGAACTTTAACTGAATTAAATTGTTTATTCCGTAATGCTTTAAGAGTAATACATAGCATGAATTTGAAATCATAGGAGCAAACATACAAGTTAAACTGGAATTTATTACATACATTTTTTTACATTATTTACATATCATATGATTTGCTTCTTATTTCCAAAGTATGATTCTTTCTTTTGATTACTAGAATATGTGAACTACGAACGTTTTGTTTATAAGTTAGAAAACGAAATAAGATGACGTAAAACTAATAAAGTGATTAAAAAGAAGCAAAAGAAATTAACAAACCAGTGTAATAAATAAGACTGAAAAAATCATAATATATATATAATAAAGATAAAAGTTTGTTTTTTTTTTTTTTAAGAAGAAATTAACCTTCCGACGAAAGACGAACATTTAAGTACATCGGAATCGTACACAGATATGTCAGAGATAGCCAAACGAGGTAATATGACGAGAAAATGAGAAAAAAAATCAGAACATTACTTTGTTTGTAGAACTTTAAATGAATTAAATTGTGTATTCCGTAATGCTTTAAGAGTAATTCATAGCATAAATTGAAATCATAGGAGCAAACATACACGTTCAAATGGAATTTATTACATACATACGATGTAGATGAAATATTTTACATTATTTACATATCGTATGATTTGCTTCTTATTTCCGAAGTATGATTCTTTCTTTTGGTTAATAGAATATGTGTACTACGAACGTTTAGTTAATAGGTTAGAGAACGAATTAAGATGAAGTTAAACTAATAAAGTGATTAAAAAGAAACAAAAGAAACATGCAAAACAGTTTAAGAAATAAGACTGAAAAAATCATAATATATAAAATAAAAATAAAAGTTTTTTTTTAATTTTTAGATAAAATTAACCTTCCGAAGAAAGACGAACATTTAAGTACATCGGAATCTTACACAGATATGACAGGGATAGACAAACGAGGTAATAAACTGATGCATTAGAAAATGAGACAAATCAGAACATAACTTAATTTTAGAACTTTAACTGAATTAAATTGTTTATTTGGTAATGCTTTAAGAGTAATTCATAGCATGAATTTGTAATCCTAGGAGCAAACATAAAAGTTGAACTGGAACATACTTCATACATACGATGTAGATGAAATCTTTTACATTATTTACATATCATATGATTTGCTACTTATTTCCCAAGTATGATTCTTTCTTTCGGTTACTAGAATATGTGAACTACGAACGTTTTGTTAGTAGGTAAGAGAACGAAATAAGATAACGTAAAACTAAAAAAGTGGTTAAAAAGAAACAAAAGAAACTAGCAAACCAGTTTAATAAATCAGACAGAAAAAATCATAAAATACAGAATAAAAATAAAAACCAATGTTTTTTATTTGTTTTAGACTCATTTAGCGAGAAGAAAGAAACACCACCACCATCACCTCACCCACCACCAACGTATATGAATACTAGAGACATAAGTCCTTCTCGTTGTCCAGGACCACCACTTGCACCTAAGCCTCATGTTTCACAGCCTAAATTTAGTGGTGATTCAGACACACAGAGTGAATACATGGCTATGGATGCAATAGGGACAACTAAGTCGGCCCCGAATCTTCCAGGTATGTAGAAGAAATATTTTAGTGTTGCCTTTATTGTCCTACTAAAAATACATATGAAAATGTCCACCACTCATTACGTTTTTAAATACTGTATTTAATATTAATGGTGAAAATTTATAATTCAATAATGTATGGACACAGAATTTTATTTAAACCATATCCAGCCAGATGACACGTGCTTTTACATTGAAAATTACTTTGTCAAAAAAATAAATTCATTTGATAAACTATCATCGAAAGTTAGTGAACAAGTTGGTAAATATTATATTGAGATGCTTTTTGAAAGCAATATATAAATGACAGAGTGGAGGAGTTGACAGCAAAATCGTTGTTTTTCTATGATTATGCTTGTACATGTAAATCATTCACGGCATGACTCTCTCTTTTTATGGCTTTTCTTATTTTTGTCAACAGCAATTCAGGTGCAACATGTGCCTACAAGATCAGTGTCAGAAAGTCAATATCAAAGCGATGAAGACGAGGAATATGGTAATATGCAGGGATTTAACTTTACCATTTTGTTTAAGTCCAACTCAGATTAATTAATAATGTCTCTTTTATTTCATGTTTTTTCAATGTATAACTAAAAAGTTACAGTTAAGTCAATTCAAATAATTGAAGGTTTATTCCAATGTTAAAAAATTGAATTATTGTCATATTTTAGACTTTTCCAGAATTAAATTGGAAAATAAATAAAAAAAAAGATTTGGGGGTACCAATACTCTTTTTTTTTCGATTTAAAATAACTTTGAATATTACTTACGGTCTGGCATTCTTTTTTTTTTCATTGATTATTACGATCACATGATTCAAAGAGTATTATTCCATGTATCTGAAGCCTTGTTTCTATTTTTAATTATAAGGACTCTATGTTTTTATTAATATATATATTGACGGTCATTATTAAAAATCTTGCAAAATACAATGTAAAATACGCAGAAACAACATTGAAGTTCATTTCAATAATAACCTATTTACATATGTAATATATAAATTAAGGACTTTCACTCAGTCAATACTTCGTCCTCGGTCAATATAATCTGAACAGGTCCACATATAACGTAATGACCTCGTCAAAAATCCTAATTGATAAATATATCAATATGCCTGTGCTGACCAAATTATAAACGATATATATATATATATATATATATATAATAAAATCTAAATGCTTACATTATAGATTCATATGTTAAATATTTAAATAAACAATTTGCTAGAAAACTGATTTAAAAAGTAAAAAGTTTGTAGGCTTCAATAAAATATAAAAATTCCAGGAATTATACTTTTGCTTGATATTTCAAGACTTAAACGTATTTTCCAGATTATCCGGTAGAGTTTGACTTGCAATCAACTGGAAGCTCCAGTTCAAATCTCAAATTATTATCATCTCAACCAATTATACACGAGGATATTCAGGTATTATTTGTACTATATTTATATAAAATTAAAACTTAATTATTATACCTTTCGGTAGCCCCATTCCCTGTATATTATTGTACAAGTTTCTCAGGCACTACTAAACAGAATGACATCATTTTATATCAGCAGCTTGACAGTGATGAGTTGTAACATGTGATCACTTATCGAATATCTCAGTCAACTACTAGCTTCTTATTTGGCACTGATTTTTTACCTCAATATGTTGAATGTTGAATATTTTCGTCACACATTTCTCCATTACTTCTCAACATAATGAGGTCATTTTTGGAAATCAGCTTGACAGTGATAATATGTTAGCGCTTTTCGAGTCTGTCAGACTCATATTTCCTGCTTTTCAACCTAGTAGGGATATGATTATACCTAACTTATTATTTCTAACAGTACCATTTTACAAAAATAAATTTGGGATTTCTAGTAAGACATGGGCTATTTGAGTGCATGATTAGATAACCAGAAAGTTTAACTATTATTTGTTTATTTTTCATTGAAACATATGTATTGTTTTGATCACCTGTCTACCATGAAGTCAAGCATACGTATATTTATCTAGAAACAAAAATAATAATACTTCTAAAAATTTTGTTCCAAGATGAAGAAGGTACATAATGACTTAATCGTATTTTTCATGTTCTAGCTTCCAACACATTCCCATCCCCATGGAGAACGACACAGTGGATTTTTCAAAAAGTTCAAGATATTTGGAAAAAAACATAAAAAGGACCAAAAGCCACCAAATCGAGACCGAAAGATGTCATTACCTACAGAAATGGACCTGAAAGCATTCCAGCAGACGAGAGCTGTAAGTGAGAGAGATATTTGATTGTACGAGTTTTAAGGCTGACTTAGAAAGTAGAACACAGATCATTTCCTAACAACCGTATTGTATTTCTTTTCTTTCATATTCTGTCATTTTGGAATTAGAAAATGTACATTTACTGATGATATGACTTTTGTAATTACCTGGGCTGAAACAAACTATTATATCAACCAATCCGAAATGATACGAAGCATTATCGATAGCTCTTACAATAGTAACACCCGTGCGACGATTGTCACTTGTGGAACCGGATCTGCCAAGCCTTTTTGGTTACCGGAGTTCAACGCCAGTTTTGCAAAGGGTTCCTGGTGCTTAATTTTAAGTTTTCTGTATAGTGTTTTTGAGTTCTTTGTTTACACCTTTCGTTAATCTTTTATCCATAAAGTTGTCTGTCGACTAATGATTTTGTTTTCACTTAGGTTTCTGCGTTGCTGCTTAAACCATATTGTTGTATAAATATTGATTCTTCCATTAGTACCAGTAGATTATCGGATTTATCCAATCGAGATAGTTAAATCATCTACATTTTAACTTAACCAATCATCTATTGAGATCTTCGGCAACCACACTATGATTGAATGTTTTTAAACAATGGGTCAACAAAGGGTTAAATTGCCAAAGAATTAGAGAAATATATATTTCTAACTATTTGCTTATCAAAACTGTGTATGAAAATTTATTAACATATTTCAATGTTATGATTATAGGGAGGAAGAAGAGGCAGTATTCCTACAGCTCAGGTTAATAGAGACAGTAGTTCGAGTAAGTATTTACCTAAAAAGGTATTACTTAAAAAATACTGAACTCTAAAGTAATTTCAAAAAGAGGAGGAAGTCCATAAAATCTGATAAATCAAAAGTTAGACTATATCAACCAATGGAAAGAATAAAACACAACTGTCATCCTGACTATGTACAGGCGCTTTCCTAAGAAAACTGTGGGTTAAACACTGTTTCTAGCTAAATTATCCCTAAATGTCAAGACTTTATGGAATGCAGTACAGAAAAGCTTATAGTTGATTACCTTTTTTGTGATAAATTTTCTTATCACCGTTTTGTGTATTTTTCCTTTGATCTTTTTTTTTGTGACAATTTTACATATCATGCTTCTCGCTTGAAATAGAAAATTATCGTCAGAAACTAAGAGCGCACGTACCGTTGTCAATATAAACATTAACGACGTTATAGGCAAAATAGCGATCAACAGATTATCAATAGTCTGTCAAAATCGGGAATTTTTCACAGGCCACATCTCATCTAATGGCTGTCACACTCCGATGAGATTGTAGCTGAGAAACACCCTCTCGTTTGAAAAACCATCGATAATCTATAAATATCATGCTACTCGCTTGAGATAGAAAATTATCGTCAGAAACTAAGGGCGCACGTGATGTTGTCAGTGTAAACATCAACGACTTCATGGGCAAACGCTGTCGTCCTTTGATGAGATTGTGGCTGAGAAACACCCTCTCGTTTGAAAAACTATCGATAATCTAGAATTACATACTTTTTCTAAGAAAATTCTGTTTTCATTCCTAGCACTTTTTTCAAAGTTGTATATGGGCTCTTATACAGAAAAAGTCTCAGGTAGACAAAATGGTAATTTTATTTGTACGACTACATTGAATCATATTTAAATGCTGTTTCCCTAAGTATCTGTCCATTCGAAGAATGAAAACATAATGTTTAAGTAGGATTTCTTCTTCTTTTGATAAACATGTCTTTGCGATAACCTTTTTTTATTTTGACATAAAGATATGATATTTGGTATGAAGATTGATTTCTTCGTCCACAATGAAGTCTTTTTTGTATGTTAGATATATCAGTTATTTACAAAGCCTAATTAGTTTCAATTAGTATAAGCATTATCAATATTTCAACTTTTTATAGGTACATCAAGTGGTGAAATTAATGTAATGCATACCAGAGAAGACAAATCTAAGGTAACTCTTTAACCATAGAAATATAGAATGTTCAATACAAACTAGATATATTTACTTAAATTAATACTAAAGGGTGGCATCACAAGAGACAGCATATCAGTTTTGAAAACCACGAGTGTTTTGTTTTTGCATGAGAAAAAATACAATATAAAGAAATGTAGAAGATAGTTCAATGAATATTTTTTTAGTTCAAAACCTCTCTGTTATATTACATTTTGAGTTCTATACTTGTCCACCGCCATTCCTTACGCGTATGTCCGAAAATACATCGGATCATATTACCGACCAACCAACATAACTACCGTAAGTGAGAAGAGAACGCAGGCATCTCTACGTTATATTTGAGTGATATTTATAAATATATTTGTATAAGACAAAATTGCAGATTTTTTAACAAAGTTTCATTTGTGATACGTGGCTCATTGGATGTGAGTTTTCAGAGTTTTTTTTTATTTTGTTTTATAGTCTTTGGATCCATTCGATGATGCTAACCGCAGAAAGAAAAAAAAACATTTTCTCAATAAAGTAAGTATAATTTGCGTACACAATTTTAATCCTGGTATTTATGATGAGTTTATTGTATTCACATATGAAATCGAATTGTGTGTACATTTTAGAGTGTTTACACGACGGTTTGCTTTTGTCATTGATGTACAGAGCACACCCTCTTCACACTCGAGCATGATATTATATTAGACTTTGTCTGCACAAACATATCTGTCATGGAGGAAAAAAATGAAAATAACACTCTAGAAGTGCTTTTTCTGGATTTACATTCGTCAGGAACGCTCAAAGCCAAATATTTGAAAGCCAAGGTTGTATAAGTACCGAAATACGTATATATGACCAAAAGAGACCTTAATAATTGCCAAAGCCGCCTGAGGTCAATATTTCCTGAGGGAGTTGGAACCTTATTAAGACAGGAGTCCTATAACTTTTGACATTATGTTGTTTTAAACGTTTAGAGGGCATGTTTCCCATAGACGGTGCTTACTACTCTGCTAGCAGATTTGTTCCGTTGTTTGCAAAAGACCGACTTCAAACAGGAGCTTTGGCAAATAGAATGAAGAAAGTTTGTGTGTTTAGCTCGTGATAAATTATGCAACATATTTGATTAGACAGCCTTAGCGTTTTCTGATATATGCGAGACACTAATCGGGCAACTTTCAGGAAATCAACTCTTCAATTTTTACTCTTAATCTAATGCTTTTTTCCTGTTACAATCGCTGCTTTCTTTGCCATTAAGTTGGTAGCAACAACTTCTGTTTCCGAGGGTCAAATGGACTGCAAAATAAATAATAGACATAGAGAGGGCATTAAACAGTCTTCAACAATAGACAAGTGTCTATACAATATGTCAAGCTCTAAATAGTCCCAAGTAAAGTTGCCAATACATTAAGCACAAACAATCATGATCTAACATCAACATCCATATAACTAAAACACTAAAATATGACATACAACATCTACTCTTTAAGAGGTCATATTTATTTTTATTTTCCGCGTAAACGTATCGTTTAGATTTATCTTAAATTGACTATCTTATGTATTTTATATTGAAAATATTCAAACTATATTTTAGGATACAAGGAAATCCATGAGAATAAACAAAGTCATTGAAGATAAAATAAATCCACTTCCGCTTCCCCAAAAGTCAAAGAATAAATCATCACCATAGATATAAGCAAGATTTTGACAAGTTATCATGTAAAAATGTCCGCAGTGAAAGGAAACATTCTCATAAATTTTGTAATAACAAAAAAGTCTACAAGGAAAAATGCACAAAGTTTATCCACCATACAACTGTGGTAATTTATACCGAGGAATACATTCTACAAACCAGTTGTCAAAAGGACGGTTTCGATCGAGCATGATTAGTTTTAAGAATTTTAACTTTTAAGCATTCTTAAAATGTAATTGCATCAAATTAATTGAGACGTGCTATGCTTCCTTAATGTTATTAACATGTTACCTAGACTTTCTGCTTTGTATAGTAACTATGCATATGAATTATTTACTGGCAGTATTACAATAAAAACTAGTTGACACTGTATATATATTTAGTTTACATAAATGTGATTTTTTTTCTATTTATTCACAAATGTATATATGTAATATTAAAACAGTTGCTGTAAATATGTATATATTTGTATTGCCAATACACAGTACAACGTCCTATGATGAATACGTTTACCTTGTTATTATTAAAAATAAAGATCTTAGTTATTGTTTGTTTTATCTAGATATAAGAAGATGTGGTATGAGTGCCAATGAGACAACTCTCCATCCAAGTCAAAATTTATAAAAGTAAACCATTATAGGTCACAGTACGGTCTTCAACACGGAGCCTTGGCTCACACCGAACAGTAAGCTATAAAGGGCCGCAAAAAATTACTAGTGTAAAACCATTCAAACGGGAAAACCAACGGTCTAATCTATATAAAAACGAGAAATGAGAAACACTTATGAACCACATCAACAAACGACAACTACTGAACATCAGATTCCTGACTTAGGACAGTTGCAAACAAATACAGCGGTTTAAACGTTTTAATGGTACCAAACCTTCACCCTTTTTCTGAAACAATAGTGTAACATCACAACATAGAAAGACACACTATAAAATATCAACTGAAATAGCTTAACTCAATCAAAGGACATATTAACACCATTTAACATACACTGAACAAATAAATTTGACCTATGACACAATGTAAATACAAAATAAATAAACTAAGGGAAGAATAATAAAAGTAACATGTTATATCGGTAAGAAATGTTAAACAATTATCTAGTCCATTTTGAATGTAAGTTGTTACGTTGATATTAACTTCGTGTAGTGATCCTTTATTTATTTATTTTTTAGTGTTTTGATAATAGCATGAACGGTAACAATTGGATTATCAATGACAGTATAACAGGTTTGTGGTGTTGTTCAACTATGTTTGTAAAAGATCAAACATAACATGAGTTTCAAAACAGCTCTGACGTGACGATCCATTGGCTATCTCATTTGATGTTAACATTCATTTATTACGATACTTTACTTCGAATTGAAAAAACTGAGATAAGCAAAGACCGTTCTTTCATTCATTTCAGTATACATCATTATCAGAGTATCTATATACTACTAAATCAATACCAGATACTCTTTTGAAATACATACAAGCTATTTATTCAGTTATAATAATATTCCAAATCCTGATAAAAAAAGACCAGGGGCTAGGATCACGAATTAATCTTAGTGTGTAAGGTCGTCTAAAGATTAACTCTGCTACGAGTGCATCAAATTAGTTATTTGTGGATGATTGACAACCCTCAAAATTCAAGTTATACGCACAACTCGTAAGGGTACACTTATCCTTCTCGTAATGCTCTCTTGGTTTTCATCTTATAGACTGGGTATATCAAAGGTTGATAATCGTTTAAAGATCGTCTAGTGTTCTCTTGGTATATCCTGAGTGGAGAAACAATTTTGTTTTACTTATGTTTTCGAACAGATTCTAATAGTCCTCATCGGCAACCTTATCGTTTTCTTAGTCTTGGATGTGGCATTTGCATTCTTCTTTTCTTCATGTCTAATGAAGAGAACGACACAGAATATTCGGAAGGACATTACATAGACTGGTTCCCTGTCCTTTGTCTGTTTGGCTCTGACACCCGTATGTTGCAAGGGAGAGAACCAGCCTAGACAGTACACAGATTGTGTCTGAACATCAAGGTATTCGATGTCCAGTTCGAGTTGAAATTCAAGTTAATAACAAATTTTCCTCAAGACAAAGTTCAAGTCTCAAGTTAATTATTAATTTGTCCACCCTCCTTGTCGAGTAAGAGCACGAGTCTGAGCTTGTGTTCGCACTTTACTTATTTTTTGTAAAGGAAGTAAAAATGGAAAACATGCTCAGTACCGTATACTATGGTTTCTCTTCGATAATATTTTGTCATCTTTTGCGCAGATTTGAATCATTCAAATGAGAACCAAGTGTGACTTCTTCTCACCAATCTTGTTTTGTTATATTTATAAGAGACAATATTGAAAAAAATGGAAAAACAGTACAAAAAAAGTATTTCAAAGAGTTATAGCTTTTATGCTCATCATTTTACCTCTGCGTCGAATTTTAAAAAGTTGTCATTTAAGTAAAGGAATCTATATCATGCTATATTGTTTCAACTTTTTAATTATTAATTTTAATAATCTTAGCAAAAAATACTTCTATTGTTTTGTAGTACAGTCGACTCTCGTTATCTCGAAGCCAGTCGGACAGGAAAAATAATTCGAGATACTCGTAGTTCGACTCAAACAAAAACCGGAAGTTTGTCAGACCAAGGGACACAACTCTCGCTTAGCTTGGTAAAGCTAAAATAAATCCGGATGAATATTGGTAGGGGATCGATATACTGGTCTCAGATCGATTTATCTGTATGTAATAGTCTTTTATTATTATAATTACATTTTATGTTTACTCTCTTATTTATTTCTTTGTACAGTTGCATTTTTTTCCTATGGTTATTAGCCAAGAGAGTAATTTGCAATAGATATTAGCGTTATTTAAAGTTTACAAAATTGTCCATTCTCGATCATTCTTGTATACAAGAGATATTAGAAAATTTAGATTTCTTTTCATTTTCTTTTATTTCAATCTTTTTCTGCAAGAGAAAATACAAAAAGACTGAAGACGCCGATTGAGTAGTTTTGAATTGATCACCAACGGAAATCGTAATCCCTACTTTATACACAACCAAGCTCATTAGTGTATGATTACGGTTAATTGTTTTAAAAAAAACATTTTAAATAATTTTTCATTTTAAGATATAACAATGTATCACTAATTATTTGTCATGGTGATCAAAGATAATCTAAGGTAAACACTCGTGGAAAAAGAATCAATACGGGCATAGGACATTTGAGCAAAAACAAAAAATGCACATAGGTTCATTTGAGCTCCGACATCATAGGACATTTTAGCGCAGGAATATTAAGCTTACCTGGATGTTCAAATAGGACGTTTGAGCGAACTTTCCTGTGATACTTTTATATGAATTAAGAAAATATTTTTAAAAAGTAAGAAAAGAGAGTAAATTTTTTAAATAAATATATTTTGTTTGATTATCATAGTCACCCATCAATTTATACTTTCCTCGACACTATTGTCACATTACAACCTGTGACTTACATCAAAATTCGGAGTTTGAATATTGATGCACCTCAGAGCCGAACAGACAAGGAGAAGGAACAGAATCTCCTGGACTTGTATTCGCGGTACTGCCAAGTGGAATTAACGAGGGATTTTTATGTTAGAAGTCTGGGATATAAATTTCAAGCCCGAACTTACTTGTAAATAATACCATTGCCAAGTTTAAGTTTTATTACAGTCCTTTGTTTTACAATTAAAAGACTTTTTGAATTTCGTGCGTTATAACCTCCACATTTAATTAACTATATACTGCTCGAAATCCTACTTCGACCTTCCTGTGGTGGGCAGGCGTAACAGATTATATCTGGCGAACGGAAGAGGTACTCCTTGATCATTCTTATTTTTTTTTCACTCAAATGTCCTTTGCTTCTTTATATTTTCGCTCAAATGTCCTAAAATTTCGGCGCTCAAATGTCCATTGCCGATCAATACAGTGGTCATTGAACAGATATTTAATTACACATGTTTTGGCATATGTGCATTAGTTCGAGATAAATAATGAATTTTGAATGCTCTTGTTAACCTTGGGACCGTAAATTTAGTTCGAGTCAACCGAAATTTCGACTCATCCAATTTCGACTCATCGGGAGTCGAAATACATATATTTATAAAGAACAAAGTCCGGGACCACGAGAAAAGCTTCGACTCCTCCGAAATTTCGAGTTAACCGAGTTCGAGACAACGAGAGTTAACTGATTTTCTGTCATGAATTGACACACCATATACTTTCTTATCCCTATGATCAGTTTGATATATTTTTGATTTTGCACAGTTTGAAATCTGGGATTATTCAATGTTGACCCAAGAGCTGTCGTTTGTGGTTTATTCCTTCAATTTCTTCTAACGCAAGCAAACTTATGCGTTATTGGACGATATTTTTCAGTTTTATGAATTGAATTCTTTTATAGCTCGTTTAACTCCATCCGTCCAAATATCGAAGCATATATACCTTTGTATTTACAATATGTGTAAAATATGTGAAATACAACTGGATAGCTTGCATGTAAAAGTTTTCACATGAAATTTCGTTTTTATTATTTTTAAAAAGTCATCTAAATTGGAATAAAATTTGGAAAAACATTGAAAGCACAGTTTTTTTTCAGTGCTTTGAGTTAATACATCACCAACAAACACGATTTTTATCTATTTTGATGTGAACAAAAACTCATCAAAGATACCAGGCTTATAATTTTCTATGCCAGACTCGTGATCGCGTTTCGTCTACATTAGAGTCATCAGTGAAGCTCGAATGAGAACAGTTGGAAGGTCAAATCAAATACTAAGTTGGAGAGTTTTAAAAATCGAAAATTTCAAAAAGTTCAGACAAAAAAGTCAATCTGTACCTTGGGTAGAAAACCCTGAGTGTTTCAAATCAATTATCATTTTATAACAGTTAATTTAAAGAAAAATGAACATTTCAATGATATTTCATGTCAACATAAAAGTGTTGACTACTGGGCTGGGGATACACTCGTGGACGACACGTCCACCAGCAGTGACAATGACCCCCAGTGGTTGTAAAAACTCATCAAAGATACCAGGATTTTAATAAAGTATATTCAATTCCGATTTTGCGTTATTTGTGTGCGTACAATACTAGGGTTTCATATTTAGATATTTTCCCTCTTTTCTGATCGCCTCGAATTTTGCAGCATGCTATTTAAGTAAGTTTATATTAACTCTAATGAAACATCACTGTTTTTTATAATTATTCCATAGTTTTTTACAAACTTAATTCAATCTGGTTACATGAAATGCACGTCTATTCTGTTACCAATACAAGATCATCGGTGACTCTATTTCTGCCTATGAATATGGAACTATTCTGTGATGTATGATCTTTTTATCGTATTAAGCTCGCATAACCAATTAAGGACAATAACGGCAATGTAGAGTTCCGCGTTAAACGCACGTAGAAGTGGTTGACAGGAGTCTGAGAACCAGCTAGTTTTGATAAGGATAGCGGTGAAGGGGCAGGAAGTTCCGAGGATTTAGCAAATAGACTAAAACCCACGTCATGTTGGATA